ACTAATAGCTTCTTGTTACTAGTAGTAAGGCCAGGAGCCCCTAGTAGCTTCTTGTTGTCCTGTCCTTTCATAATGCAGAATCGACACATGTCGACGAGTATCTTCAGTTGTAAGGTGCTGACTGAGTTCTCTCCAGATTGCTTCTGCCATTTAAATTTGGCCTGCTTCTGTCAGCGGCCTAGGCTTGCGTTTCATGCATTCCGAATCGTACCTGTAGAGGCTCAGACTTGGACCCACGGTCCGCCACTGAGGTCATCAAAGGGAGCACCTCAACCATTTCCGAACAAACAACAACGGAAAGCTGCTGAAAGCTGCTGAAGCAATCCAAGCCTTCATCCAAAGCCACGAAAAAACGCGCTGATTGTTCGTGGATCAGCCTCACAGGAGCTGCAATTATTCACTTGACATGTAGGAAAATGGTTTCTATTAAACAGGTGAACTGCCCAAACATATGAATTCTCCTGTTATTGGTCTTCCCCTCCTGCGCAAGGCTCGCAGGCCCAAGAGCAGCTCAAAGACCGAGAGGACAAGGCGGATCACCCAGCAAACCTGCTGACCACAGCTGGACCATCACAGCTCAGCAAAAAGACATATATGAACACCAACCGCTGGACACTTAGTTCACAACGAACAGTTAACAGTTAAGAACAGTTAAGGTGCCACTGCACGCTTAGCTGCTTCAATGTTTGGTCTCAAAATGTGAGGAAAAAAAACCGTTTGAGGGTGCAAAGGACCCTTGGCATATCACAGGTCAAAGGGCTCACTAGCATATCGGATTGGTGTTGCCAGGCTCCGCCTGCTCAATTGTGAAGATACAAGGCAAGTTTGCAGCCTCAGCTGCTTCCACCCCAGGCAATCGCAGCACACACAGCTTATGGCACACGCGGCCTGCAGGGTGGTGAAACCCATTTTGAGTTCTTCGAATCCAACTTGTTAGCCGAAGGGGCCAAGCTGCAGATCCCCGGCTGAAAGTCCTCCAGGTAGCTGCCTGAAGTAGACACAAAACTCAGTGCCAGATCGCACCAGTACCAGAACGCCTCGCGAAAGGCCTGGCAGCCGGCTAAGTTTGTTGCTTAAGGCCAGTTCAGCCACGAGAATCCCGATGCACCTCCGAGCAAGGACAAATGGAGACCGTTCTTGGCAAAGAGCCAACCGCACAAATTTTCGGCTCAAGTCAACATGCACCCATGGATTCAATAATGTTTAACTCCGTCGTAGGCTTCAGTCACTGGAAATGCACACCAAAAATGAAGAGAACAAACGATCAGGGAAGGCGAGGCCACAGCCATGTGTCGCTCCCAACTCGCACCATACCACTGAGTCAACTTGGCCACAGCGGACCCTAGGCAGAGGAAGACGAACAGGAAAAGCTCAGGAACCTCAAAGCTCCAGCGGCCACGGTACGTGCGGACGTGCGGACGTGCCATGTGTTCTTTTTTGGCGAGGCGGCTGAGGCTCTCACCTTCTCCCCAAGATTTCCTGCGTAACCCAAGTACAGTCGGCAGGGCTCCAGCAAGAGGCAGAGGACATAGTTCGCACTGGCCACAAAGGTGGCACGTCGGCGTTCGTCGGCTAAAGACGGTCAAAGACTGAAAGAATCAAAAAACGATCTTGCTGCGGACACCACTGGGTAGCAGACCAAAGCAAAGCTATCATGATGGTACCACGAATCCTGCCATGTCACTGTCCAACTGATTTTCTGCTTTGTAAAACACTCTCGCAAACCAGCAAATGTCACCAGCGAAGCTTTGCCCACCCAGCAAGGACCTACAAAACACATGGTGAATCTGATTCGAACAGTGAGACCGAGTGAGAGAGAGAGAGAGAGTCATCAAAAAAAAGGAAGGGAAACACCAAACAAAAGAGATGGCTGAAGGAAGGCTATCCAAGGCATCCAAGGTGAGTAACCAACATGTCCGCACTTTTTTCTGGCCTCGACAATGACGAGAAAGACATCGAACCAAACTCCACAATACAAGAGGACCTGCAGCGGGCACCGCACTGTCCCAGTCTGCAGCACCTCCCAGCACCCTGCACCCCGCATCCACCGGCGCCTGGAGGGAGACGCTGGACGAGACCCGGCGGTCCAGGACCTCGCCGCGGGAGAAACGTCGGAGTTCTGAAGGAGCAACGTCGGACGTCTGGGAGCGGGGCCAGCGGACAGGTCTCCCGTGGTCTCCCTGAAGCTGACAACACATACATCAACAAAAATCAAAACTGATGTGTAGACATGCATGTGATTTGCATAATGCATGTTATATACATATACACATACATGTCAGTTCATGTACCTATGTATAATTCGATGTGTGTGTACATATATATATATATATATTATTTATTTACTTGATATATGTATTTATCTATCTATTTATTATAGTATATATAGTGCTCCGTTCACGAGTTCCCGCCACAAAGATATGATGCTTGTGTTGATGATGTTTTGAAAGAGCATAAAAGAGCAGAGTCGGTATAAACCAAAGTTCTTTTGTCATGTTGTACCCGTGGCAAGATGCTTTGTTGCAAATCAAGTAGAAGATTAGACGGAGACCCTACGTTTCCTGTTGATGTTGCATGCATGATGAAATGCTTCTCCTTCAAGTTTTGCACAGTATATGTCAGTGAGACAACTGAAACAACAAGTGCCCTCAATTAGAATCCCTTAGATGAGGACTTGGTGTGGATGCACGTCTGCTTTGGAAGCTGGGTTTGCAGTTTTCTACTCATCTGATTGCTTTTCCAGCAACTGAGAACGCTCCAAAGAAGGTGGACCTTGCATGTTTAATATCATCACCAATGACGCCTGACTCAAAAAGTTGGAAGAGTCACAATGACTCCATTGAAATCAACGGCAAGATTCTCCATAGAGCAGAGGCTGTCGATTCTGAGAACAAACACTGCAAGAAGGTCGTCCGGCAGTGAATGGCCGGACAGAGTGCACCGATACACATACCGTAGGATGTCAATGTAGACATTATTTTTGTGCATACAAGCATATTTCCCAACATATTAGAATCTTATAGAATCTTCTCACACCTTGAAAAGCCTGTTGCAGAAAAAGTCTAAGAAGCAGGCCATCTTGATTTCTGTGCTGCATGAGACATAGATCCCACAGAACGCCCAGCTGTTAGGTGAGAAAGGTGTCGCTTTTGAAGCTGAAAGTATCAGCAATTGATGTCACTTCATGGTTTTTGGTCACGTGATGGTTGACCATGCTTGGACCTCAAAAACGTCCTAAAAGACCAAGCTGGAGATCATGACTCAAAGTCCAACAAAGCTGGAGCCGATGCGGCAGCTCTGAGATGTCTTGCTTTACATAAGACTGAGAAAAAGGAAGACAAGCGCAAAGTGCAGAGCCAATGGGCAAAGAGACAAGCCTGCATGAAACTCATTTAAGCCTGATGTCTGTCTCTCCATGTTTGGCTCCGGCGTTTTTCACTGCTTTTGCTAGAGATCACCTACAATTACATTGGTGCCAAGGCTGCTTCCTGAGAACTTTGCTCAGCAACTCCGGACTAAGGTACTTGTGTCGCACACTGCGTGTACACGGCAACAATCTCCACGCGAGGTCCAACATCACTGCTGCACGTCCTCAATGCTTTCAATGCTTTGTGCTCATTTGGTGGGGCTTCACACCAAAGATCAGAAACAGTTGACTACTTTGGCCAAAACACTCCAAGCACTTGAAATGATCGGCTGCTGGGAAGCCCATTCTTTGCATCATGTCCCCTTGTTGCCATTCAAACTGAAGAGGAGACATCCCAAATCTTCGGTCTTGCTGCTGAGACTCGCCAAGTTGCTGCTCCAGCTGAGTCTGCAAATCCTGCAAGCGCTTCAGGTGGCTCTGCAGATTCACCAGCTCATCTTGTGGCTGCCGCAGCCTCGGTCGAGCTCAGTCGGCTGCTACACCACCTGGTTGGAGGCCATCGCTAGTAGGTTGGAGAACCCAAAGACACACCACGGAGCACAGTTGGGCGGGCTGCTCCGGACGGAGCATCGAGCAAGCACGGTCAGAGATGGGTTTTGAAGGTCAGCTGAGCTGCTTGGGCCGCGCAGGGAGCAGATGGACTGGAGGCTGCCCCTGTTGCACATGTGGCTGAGCTGGCTTGACCTTGGATGCGTTTGCGTGACAGCAACTGCAACACAAAGGTCACATCGTCCTCTTCACTGGAGCGAGGCCAGGGCATGATGTGCGCCGTGACTGGGAAAGTATCTTCTTGGTGTCCAGGAACTGAAAACGCTTTCCGCTGAGCCAAAGAAAGCAGGATTTCTTCTTTTGGCTGAGCAATGAACTGCGTCATAGCTGACACCGGCTGAAAGCGGCCTGAATCATCACTTGTCAGAAGTCGCAAGATATGGCTGTTGGTCAATCTCACACACTCCAAGAAATCGATTTGCCCTTTCTCATTTTTGGGATTGCTTCAGGCCCCAGAGACTCTGATCCCGCCGATCTGCTTGAAGACTCGCACTCGGGGGACTCGCTCGCACCTGCCAGTGGCGTCCGAACTTGTCCTGCATCCGCAAACATTTTTGAAAAAAAAATCTGGAATGGAAGAACTCTGAAGACTTACCACTGAAAAGTTCGTCCTGAATGCCGGGGCAAGTTTGAGTACGAAGTGGTTGCCTGGCTTTGAAACCCCGCTTTACAAAGAACACTCGCTGGTTGGTCACTGTCTCCATGCATTCGCAGCTCAGGCCTGGAGTACCCTCCGCGGGGTGTGCCCGGATTGCGAGAGCGAGCCAGTGCTGGACCTTAAGCGGGATTTTTTCATCACCAGCAACACACCAGCCGCAGCCCAGCAGCAGAACAACAGCACACCCGCAGCAGAACAGCAGCAGTCGCTTGCGGCGACGCCGGCGTGTTTTATCCAGATGGTTTGGTGGTGTAACATAAAGAAAAAGGACGCTTCAATACAAAAAACACATTTGTATTGTTCCGTCAGTGTTTCTTGAAACACCGTTTTAGGAATATGTATGACAAAACAGGTCCAGAAGCTAGGCCAAATGTATGCACACCAGGGGCACAACGCTGCAATAGCGACAGTCTCGACCATAAATTACAAATCATTGTGGGGTGGGATTTTGCTTTTTCCCCACCTGTCAGGCGAGGGTTGTTAGATTTTACGTCAGCCCTATCTCCTCCTCCTCCTTCTCCTCCTCGTCCTCCGCCGGACCTCAAGCTTGAAAAAAATTGGCTTAGATTTGCCGAGGCTCCAAAAAAAATGACCTAGATAAGCAAGAGGTCCACGCATCTTGAGCTGGGCTCATCAAACATTCCACCACCCAACCTCTGAAAAGCTGAGAAAACGGCATCGCGCTGCTTCCAAGATGTGGACCTAGATCAGTCAGTGGACCTAGATCAGCCAAAGGTCCGTCTAATTTGACCTCAAACAAAACATTCCCTCAAGCAAAGCCACTAAGACTAAGACATTTCAACGCAAACCAAACTCCAAAACCAGAGTGACAAGGAGAAGCATTGCTGCCTGTATCCAAGAGCCGGAGCCGTAGGCCGGCGCTTCAAGCACTCAGACAAGTGTTCGGTGTCCAAGGCAATATTTTTCCTGGGCCAAACTGGTCAAGGAGGGACCTGCAAACAGAAGCGCGTTTGCCGGATTCAATGGGCGGCACTTCGATTTCAAGGCTTTCCTGCGCGTCTGCAGCCCACGCTCGCAAATCTGCGCGGGCGTGTACCTGCGCGCGAGAGCGAGAAGGAGATGCAAGGCACGGTAACGACACCGCCCCAGAGGCGCACCAACACAGCTGTCCCAGAGGAGGCCAGTTTCCACCGCGCGGCCAGCTCCCGCCAGGAGCGGCACCATTTCCACGGTGACTTCCTCTCTGTTTCCCACTGCACACGGGCCCCGCCAAGCGGGACCCCGCTAACCAAAAATGGGACGCGGACCTGGCCGTTTTTCTACGCCCAAACGACTGCTGGATGAGTTGAGGAAAGGAACACCGGAAAATCAATGAAGGAACACTGGAACATGTATGTTGAGAGGGGAGGCGCACCCCCCTTAATACGGTGATTGTGTGTGTGCGCGTGTTTCTTTTTGCTTCTGATTTTTGCTAGCGCTTTGCTTCTGCTTCATGCTTGTTAAAGGTTGTCTTTGGAGCAGACTATATATTACAATTGGCGACTGGACCCCTCACAGATGTTTCACGGGCGTGATTTACATCGAGCTTCCGCGTACGTTCTGTTCTTTGGATAGGTTGCAAACCTCATCGGCTTTGATATTCTGCTGGTCTGTGGCTGGCCTGACCAAAGCGATCTGCCGTTTGCGCTGGCTTCTCGCTAGCTTGACACAACGAGCCTACGACGTTCGACTCGACTGGCGCGCTTTATAAATCGAGTTTTGGTAGACATTGATCTTCCGATTCTCGGATGGGTTGACAGCGCTAGCCTTTTGCCTGTTTGCCGTCCATGCTTTCTGGGGTATGCCAGATTTGGCTTCTGTTCTGTTAATGGCTTAGCAAGACAGATCTGCCATTGCAATGGGTCGCAATTTTTTGTCACGCGCGCGACCACACCTTTAACTTGAGGAGACGCGAACGAAAGGTAGCCATCATACATGTAACGTGGGAGACGCAACCATTCGTCTGGAAAAGGGAAACATGTCGGCGTGACGATGGCGATGATGCGACAACGACAATGATGACAAGGATGACAACGAGGATGGAGCCCACGAGGTAAAAGCAAAGGCAAAGTGGCCGCAATCCGCCACCGTCTTTGTAGGACGGCTCATACAGCCTTCCACGGGCCTTTGGCCTTGGGCGAGGCGAGGCCGTCTCAGCCCCGTCAGAAACTGACGCGCGGTCGCGTCAGCTGCGGCCTGGCCAGGTTTTGAACCATGTCGCGTTTATTGCCCGTTTCCGTTCTACCCTTATCGCCCCCTCCACGTGGATGGGAGCCGCCCGGCCTCTGGACCAGCATCAAATCGTCATGCAAGGGCCCGTCCTCGTCCTTCCGTGCGCAGCCTGACACTGAAGCTCTGGAAGGCCTGAGGGTTGGAGCTGTTGCGACACGGGGACCGGGGAGCACCCGGACGCGTGAGACGGAGGAGCCGCGCCCCCATCCAAGCGCACGCACTTTGCCACTTCGCCGAAGCTCGTAACGCAAAATTGCATCGGGTGTCTGGATTGGAATGCAAAAACGGGTCCCTGCAGCAATGATGCAGCAAGAAGGATGAATTTTGCGCGAGGAAGGAAGGTCGTGGAATCTCAGCCCAGGACTACGTGAATATCCCTCGAGCACTTCCTGCAGGAGCCCCTCGTTCGAGCGTTCCCTCCACACAAGCAAGCGGCTCCAAGCTCACAGAAGCCGTCTTCGCCGAGAGATTCGGCCGCGCGGCGAAGAATCCTGCTCAACACCTCGTGCTTGGCCGACCCGATATGTGTGGCCATCCGTATAAGAAAGTCAAGTCTTCGAGCCATCCGAGGAGCATGTGGCCAGACTGCACTTGCAGGAAAAGATGCGGCGGAACGGTTTGGATTGCATCATCTTCTCAGAACTGTGGCTAGCACTTCGGCACTTCCGTTCACGCAAAATTTGTTGATGCACAAACAATTCTCGTGAGCAATAATGAGAAGAGAAGGAGGATATAGTTTGTTTGAGGAGTGAATGCGTGAACGTCCCTGGAACACCCCTGGAGCCCTCATGAGAGGACCATGGTCACCAAAAATCTGAAGGAACCCGGCTCCTGCGTCCGCCCTGATGCATGCGATCGGGCCTTGGAGATCCGAGTAAGCCCACCGAGCGACAGAAAGACTTCGTGCAAAAACAATCTCACCGTGTAAAATCGCCACGACCTCGACAGTCAGTCCATTGTCCAGTCTGTCCTGGATCGCGTATCGAGTCGGGGTGGCTCGCCGCGAGGGACGTCGCGAAGGCGCGGCGCACAGGACGGTGCGGCCACGGTAGCGTGGGTGCCTCGCGTGGCACCGCCGCGACGAAACATTTTTATCTAGGGCCGACGAAGAAGGAAGGTGGATCGACGTGTTCGGGTTGATTGGAAATCAAACAACAACGAATGATTTCCGCTGAGTGGTTTGGCGCCACTTTCCCAGTCTTGTTCCCAGACCCGGGAGCCGGAGGTACGGAGCCACCGTCGGTCTCGCCATGCTCAGGTGCGGAGCCACCGTCGGTCTCGCCATGCTCACACGCGGGAAAGCTGTCTTGTGGTTTCGTTTCGCGCAACCCTAGGGTTTGCGCCCTGGCTAGTAGCTACGCGAAAGGCTGTGGTAATTTCTGGAGTTGTTAGTTTTGTCGTTTCCCCTTGCGCGTCGCAAGTCCGGAACATAAACCCCTGGTCAGTCTGATGGGCTCTGCACTACATCCATGGCTGCGATTGTCAGGCCTATGCAACTCTGCCTCTGTACTGTCCACCCCGACGACCAGGGGGGTTGTTCACGACTACTACTACTACTACTACTACTACTACCACTACTACTACTACTACTACTACTACTACTACTACTACTTCTTCCTCGTAGCACCGTGGCACAGAATCCTTCTTTAAGGCCTGTAAGAAGGATTCTGTGCTACGAGAAGTAGTCGTGGCCGGGCCCCCCCGACGACTACTACTACTACTACTACTACTACTACTACTACTACTTGTCCGTGTTCATGGGGGGGGCACGACTACTACTACTTTCTCGGGGGCGTCCTGCAGCCCACCCTTGACCCGTAGAAATTTGCCACAGCCCAGGGCCCAGTTGAAGGTTTGACAAACGAATGGAACTTGACCTTGCACGCTCCAACACAACTACAGCCTTTTAACTGTCTTTTCCACACTCGGCCAAGCAGAACAATCCGCAGGTATAGAGTAACTGAGTAGCACCAGACCAGCAGCAAAAACAGCAGCAGCAGACCAGAGCAGAAACGGCATCAGCAGACCAGCAGCGCACCAGCAGCAGACCAGCAGCAGACCAGCAGCGCACCAGCAGCAGCAGCAGAAAAACCAGCAGCAATCCAGCAGCAGCAGAGAAACCAGTAGCAATCCAGCAGCAGCAGCAGCAGCAGCAGCAGACCAGCAGCAACACCAGCAGCATTGATGCAAATGATGCCTTGACAGTTTAGGCTTGCATTTTCTGCATCACCAACTCACCAAAAGTTTGCTCTACCAGAAAGTAAAAAAGGCATCAAGTTTAGCCCATTCGCTGGCTTTCATAATTCAACACCTGTTATTCTATGATTATTTATGTTGTGCCTCGGTGTACACGCCAGGTGTGATGCGTGTGAGGAGTCCCACATGTTTGGTTGGTTCACCGAAAAGAAAACCCTGCAGAAAGCATCACCCACCTCTGCGCGCCTAAGGCGCTCAGCCACCCTTCTTTGTGCATCTATCAAAACAATCAGTAGGACGGTCCGAGGTTGCAGACTGCTGGCTCAAAGCTCCTGAAGGGAACTGCCCTGAGCTGGCCTGGCACGGCCCCAAAGACACACGAGACAGATCGACAAAAGAAGCATCAAAAAGAGTTATGTACTATATACTTCTGGACAAAAGGAAAATCAAGAAGAGGTACCAGGTATCAAAAAGAGGCATCACGATACGACTGTGGTACAGTGGTACACTTCTTCTGGCTGTTTTTCTGTGAACGAAGGGCTGGACACAGTCCGACTTCGGCCTGTCGAGGGAGTCCATGGACCGCGACCCTGAACGTGGAAACAAGCCGCGACGACGCACAAAGCCGCGAGGGTCCGGTGATCTCGCCTGGGAGGCAAAGACCTGCGGGCACTCGCCTCAGGCGAAACAAGTGCTAGAAGCTTCCAACTGGGAATCGGTTCACCTGTCGTAACAAGAAGCTACAGAGGCACAAGTATTCAACTCCGTGGTGTACTTGGCTCCCAAGACGTGCACCGGCACCGAAGCATAGACCGTGGGTCTCAAAGCAAAGCCTCGCGGTCTTTCCGGTCTGCGGGTCCAGAGCTTGCGTCAAACGCGAGGTGGCGACATGTTGCGATACAGCAAACCTAGCCTTGAAAGTGCCTCTGCGCCACAGAACATCTCGGATCTGAACCTGAAGGAAGCGTCGCTTGGCAGAACGGTTTGCTTCACAATGTGTAAGCCCTGGACTTGCAGGACGCATCGCACGAGGCCTGACAGCCATGTGAGATATGCGTAACATCATGGACCCCACAAGATCGGATCTGTCTCTTCTCATTTGAGGCCCACATCTTGCGGACAGTCATCGTTTCTCCGAGTGACTCCCACCATCAAGGCAGACGGGCTGAGGTCACTGCTGCTGGCTTTCCGGAGTGGTGGGCCTTGTTTTTTGCTCCGCACGGAGCAGAACTCGTTCAGGCAGAACTCTCCAGGTGCCGCACAAGAACTGCTCCGCGCTCCTGGGCGAACGCATGCGTTCGCAGGCACTGGAGCTCATGAACTGTACGGGCCATTCAACAAAATACCATATCTAATCTAATACTATAAAAGTATCATAAAGTATCTAAAATAAACCATTCTAAACCGTGAGCATCAATAGCCTCACCCTCCCAACTGGTATCTGGTCTGGGCTAACTTGGTCTCAAGAAGTTAAGGAAGTCCTTGGCAGCGTGAAACAAAGTCGGCTTTTTACCCTTCAGGTCTGACCCCATGTTCGCCATGGCTCAAGCGTCTGCTCCGCTCCATCTCATGCGCCTGCCGAAAAAGGAGACACCGAACCATCCAGTAACCACCAGCCGCAAGCTTCAAGGCCATATGATATCGCTTTTAGGTTGGAGGCCATCGAAATAAGTAACTCAAAAGAACTTGAGAATGATTCTTTTCAGCTTCGGGGAGCCCTTCCACCAAAGACGAAAAGCTCAGCCTCTCAGGCCCCAAGTGGAGCTCGAGCGACCGAGATCCTTAAGATGAGACCCATCTCCAAAGCGACCAGCTCTCGAAAAGACAGAACTTGCGGAGCACCTCGGTCGGCCTGGGACACAAAATACAAGGAGCTCAAAGCTAAAGCAGCTAGAGACACAAGAATCACAAGCAAGAAGCGGGAATTCTAAAGTTGGATCACATGCTCAACCATGCTCAAGCCAGTATCCAAAGGCAAAACAAGGCAAGATTTAGCGTTGATTCGTGCGCGTGTTAACCTGTTTTTGCCTCCACGTAGCTTTGCAAACGAAGGAGTCGAACTCGAGTCAATGTCCTCTTGGGCCGGAAGCGTCGAATTTCCGAGGTTCGTCCTGCCCAAGAGGTTTCAGCCCAGGTACCGCTTCCAGGGCTTGCGCTGCCGGCAGTGATCAATCCTCTCAAGCAATCTTGGCCATCTTAAAGAATTCTTCTTTCGAGTGGATTCCAACCGCCTGGGGCGCCCGGGTCTCCCCAAGGTTTGGACCTGCCATCTTGCCATCGACCAAGAAGCTCTTGCCCAGTGACACTTGTGCGAACATGATCACCTTCGGCCGAAGCTTCAGACGAAGAGGACGGAAGGAAAAGCAAACGTTCCAAACGAGTGACCTTTATTGCCTACGGTGAGCCTAGGAGAGTAGGCTCTAACTATTACTATCATACTGGGGATCCTGGACAAGCATCTTTACACAACAATCAATAACGAACGAGGTGAGAATGAAGAAAAGCACGTCATATCTCCCATGTGTTCAAAGTAATGACAAAAATATACATCATGAATGTCACAATCGTCTGCTACAAGTCAATGGTTCTAATTGGGGAGACAGCACCAATGGAGTTGTTGGTTTGCTGGCCTTGTCAATGGTGGGAGTGGGCACTTCCAGCAACTCTGCGAGTCCTCGGGTGAAGCACAAACCCGTGGGCACGTCCTCGGCCAAGTAGCGGTACTTCAAGTCAGGCATGAACCCGCCATCGACCGGATTCATCGGGTGTGTCAAACCAACATATGCGCTGTTGGTGTTCATTGAAAGCTTCAAGGTGGAATCGTCCGCCATCTGCCCCTTGTAAGAATCCAAGTACCATCGATGCAAGGTGCATGCGTCTTTCAGATTGAAGCCAGGAACCAAAGCTTCGACCTTGCGGCAAACATCTTGCACCTCGTCGGAGAGACCAAGTAGGACCTTCTCAGTGAAGTCATCGACACCCTGATAGAAGAGGGGCTTCTCAGCCAATGGCTTCCCATCCCACTTCTCAGAGCACCAACGCCCATACATGACTCCAGGGTGAATCACTTGACCTGGATTCCGCAAGCTAATGCCCAGATTATTCGGACTCTTCTCAATGGCTGGAAAGACACCCAAGAGCCCTTGCAAGGTGGCAATGGCACGAGTGGCTTCCGACTCGGGGGTTACCGCAGCAAGGATCTGCCCTTTGGTGCCCAAAATGGTGGCCCTCTTGCCCCACTCAGTAAAACGGCAGGCCCATGGCAATGTCTCGAAGCCCACAAAGGCCAAGCTGTCTGCCTTTTCCTTCATCTTGGAAGCAAACAAGATGTCACCACCGGACCGTGCGGGCATGCATGCAACGATTGTGCCAGCCTTGATGTATGGGTAAAAAGCCTCAAAGTACTGGCCGTGAGCAAAGGAAGGCACCGCCAGAATAATCACATCGGCTTTTCCTGCCAGACTGGGGTCATTGGAAATGTCGCTGGGTGTTGAAATCAGCTTTCTTCCCGTGTCCAAGGTGAGCTCCATTCCCTCCACTTTGTCATGCCAGCGGGATCCCATCATGTGCGTCTTCCACTTGGCCGCTTCATCGGCATACAGGGAAATCGCATAAGTTTCATAGCGCGCAGCAAACATGGAAGTTGCAACCTGGGCGGCATTGCCACCACCACACACTAGAACGGTCAGACCCTTCTTGGTTTCGTCACCCATGCTGGCAGTGGAACAGGAAAGAATCGTTGCTTGAGCTTTGAAGCGGCTGCAAGAGTGAACCACTCATTTGCATGTGCTCGTTCATGATACAAGTTGTTTGCAGTTTGTTTGCAATGTGAAAGCTCAAGCTCTGCCTCGTCGCATCTGCCTCTCCCGCCTCAGAATGCGGCCAGTTATGATCCTTCCAGCATGCCTGGCTTCCGTTTCTTTCGTGAAAACAAGTAAACTTACAGTAAAAAGCCCACCCTTTGGAAGTCAAACATGGACCAAAAGGGACCAAAACCTACTTCCAAACATCTTGGCTTTTCTATGCTTTTTTCCATTTTGGAAGCCTCCTCCCCCGAGGCTCTTCTTTGGCGGTCTCGGTCGCCCCAACGTTCGGAAGTCGGATCAGCTGTTCAGGGTCCTCATAGCTGACCCAGTAGACCTGTCGCACGTTTGAGCCCGGCTTTCGGGTTTAGGGTTTAGGGTCACCCCATCATGCAAATGTCACGAATTTCTGTGCAGACGGGCTTGCTTGCCCCGCCAAAGCCTTTTCGAAATTCCAATGCACTAGTTTGCAAACCAACAGTTCAACAGCTCCACGCTTCTTTGGTCTCCAACAGAATGGAACCACGCACTGGAGACAACATCTTCATTTCATATCCAGTGTATACCAAGTTCAGAAATACTGGCTGAAACGAAGGAGCAACCAGCCAGCTGGCACCAGCTGGTACACGTCTGACAGCTTAGCTGGCTTGGCTCCACATCCAAATCTCCGCTGTGGAAAAGACGAGTGCCCAGCCTTCCCTTCGACCTTGACATAAGAACCTTTCACAGCAGTGTCTGCAGTCCTTAGGGCAAGGTGATCGCTGGAGCAACACAGAAAGGGAGAGAGGAAGTTCTGCGTGTGTGTGCGCCTCCCTCTCATCCTAAGCGTGTATTCATCTGTGGGCTGCACTCTGATTCTGCCAGCGCATCCCCTTCCACACTTGCAATCTTGGGGTCTTCGAGGTCAGCATCCCCATTCTCTCGACGGTCCACCTCCCGGGAGGGCTGAAAGAAGTCCAACGCCCTGTTTTCAGGCGAGGAAGACATCAGTGACGCCGGGCCTTGTCAGGCGAAGGCACCTCACGTTCTGGCCTCACGCGAAGGAGTTGGCAGGGTTGGCAACCGAAACTTGCGCCACATATTGGACATGACAGTGCGCCTCGGCACCAAACCCAAGGCTCCCTTAGAGCTGATCGAAAGCAACCAGAATGACAGAATGCTCTTGTATAAATGCAGTCAGGTAGTCTCCCTCAAGTGAGGTAGTCTCTCAGATGATGACTCTCAAAGTCTCGATCTCCTCATTCGCTCTCTGGAGGTCAGCCCTGGCTTCGAGAAGTTTCGTGCCATTTCGAACTCAAGGGAAGCTTCAGAGTTTAGACCTCAAGGCTGCAGAGATTCGGCATTCAGCTTCCAGGGCCTCTCATGCAGTCTTTTCCACCCGGCATGTCCAGTGACAAGAAAGAAATACAGCATCCAGCCGAATCCAGCCGAGTCCAGCCTTTCGGAGCTCTGGCACACTCAAACTGTTCAGCCATGCCTCACAGTCCTCACCTCACAGTGGAGACTCGTCGAAAAAACGGAACCTCGTCCATGAAATAAACCAACTACGTTAAGTAGGACGCGCAATGTTCTGCACCATGTTCATGAACTTGAACAACACCAGTTCTCCCGGAACAACCCCCGGGACGTTGGTCCGTTTCTCTCCCCAACTCCGCTCGTCGGCCTGGTGCGTTCTTCGGCGTCATCAGGCCCGGTCGTGGAGCGACGGCATGGCATCCGCATGGAGCAACAGTGGGAACGGATGGACTTGGCTCAGCTGGATGCTCAGCTGGATTTCGTTCAGTCTCGCGTGCTGGCTTTCAAGGTTTCAAGACTGGTTCCGGTGAAGCGACGGTTACTTGCTCTATATAAAAACTGTTGAAGTGTCTTGGCTCGTGCCACCACAGAGCAATTGGTTCATTCGCTTCTCGGTGGCTATGCAGTTGCTTGAGTTCTTGCGAACGGCTGCTCTGCTCAGTTCTTGGAAAACCTGTTCGCAGAAGAGCAGACCATGCAACAACCACAGCATCGGAAGCCCCGATGTTGGAGAGCCAACAATCAACTTGCCTGCACTCGACAAAGCACCATCACTTGCAGGCTCAGGTTGGTCCCATTTGGTCCCCCTTTCTGGCTCAGGTTGGTAGCCTTTTTCGCTCCAAACATGAGACCTAGCTCGGGGCCATTGGCGTGCCCATTAACCGGCCTCAGTTGATCTTGCAAGACAAGTCTGCCAAGGCCAAAGAAGCTCTAAGGTATGGGCTCATCGCATGCTGAATCTGGATGTTCACGGACGCAAACGTCTGGTCTGTTGCCAGGTTCCTCTTGGGGCTGTCGGATGTCAAGCATCGTTTATAAGGGGAGAAAAAAAGGGACGATGTCGCTGCAGCACACTGAAAGTGTGTTGTTTATGGAGAAGGATGTAGGGCCCCGGCGCATGGTACATAAGCACTGCGGTCTCGACATCCTGTCAAATGATTCTTTTCCTATTGTGAAACATTTGTCTAAGCGCACCTTACAACTGAGTTATGACTTGTCATGACTTATCAAGCTTGTGCTCAACCTAGCACCTAGCCTTGTTGACATGGTACTGACCCTGCAAGTGGCGTGCACCGCATGCCCCTTAGCTATTACTCCCAGAACAGTTCTCTGCGTGTTACGGCATCAACCCGACCAACCCACACACACCTCGGAACTTACTTGATGCTCTTGTTCAAATCGAGCTCCCACTACAACCTGCCCATCTCCAAGTCAACATCCAAACTCAACAAGAACTGGCGTTTCTCTGCGTGTTATCAAAAAAAGTCGCCTGAGCTGCTATGGTTACAGTCTTGGGGTCCAAGGCCTCACGCGCCAATCGGCTCGCGCCGAGACACAACGACTCGCAGCGAAAACGCTCCAAGGACTCACGACTCTCTGCGAAAACGACTCTCTTCCGACCTGTCTCTCGCCAGGCGGAAGATTTTCGTACTCGTCAACCAGCGTGGTCAACTCCTGGCGTCACCAAGTCATTGGGGGTGAGCTGCATGCGAACACCAGCTGTCAGGCCTGCAGCATGAATTTGTGATATTCGATGACGTCTTTGACGCTGATGGACTGTTCAAAACCATCCAAAAAGAAACGGAATGCAAACCTTTTCGGCAAGATATGATATCATTTCAAGAAAATTCTGCCTGAATCTTTTCTGATGCAATATTGTGCGGATTTGGCCTCTCAACCCAAACAACTCACTTGTTCAATATGAATTCTGAATGAAATCTGAAACCAACAAAGGATTGATGATTCCATGATATAGGAATAGTTATATAATTGGTGGCATCGGGCATCAAAGCCAAGCCCCATACGCGCCCATGATCTTTGCAATGGAATTGCCTCAATGGAACGACAGTTGACACTGTTGGACAAAACAATCAACGAGACAGACACTCGTAAGGCGAGGTACGAATTTCGGTGTCCTGCTGGTGTTTCTCCAATAGCTTGTCCAAGTCCATCAACTGCCTTTCAAATGTGACGTCTTGTCTCACCATCTTACCATCTTGCGGTGGCGTTTCTCTCTGAGGGCCCAACAAGCCATGTTTCACCATTGGGTCTGGTGGCCTGAGATCCAACCGAGTGCCGAGTGAGCATGACATGCCGAGTGCCTGCATCATCGATCAGGGCGTCTGACTGAACTTTTTCTATCTTCTTGCAAATCTCGACCAAGCTTGAAGGTGTGCGTTGAAGCTCCTGAACGAAAAATATGGACACCGCAGCAAAAATAGAATTCAGTCAAAAATCCAGTTGCCCTCTCCTGTGTCAAATCTTTGATGACAGTCTTCATCTGCTCCTACAACCATGGCTGGTACCACCGATCGCCTTCAGTCCTCTGCTGCTGTTGTCTTCTCAACTGAGCCAAGGGCCTGTGCTTTGATCAGTTCTTTCAAAATATCTTTCAGCTGTTCCTTTGCAGCCTCCTGCAGCACTCGCATTGATTCACATCACGCAAAATTACACAAACTAATGTATATTATATATATATATACTGCACACGGATATGTGTGCATCTATATATACACAGTATATAGAATAACACAACAAAAACGTCGGTCAAAACATCCAAATTGCTGTCGTCTCCTCACTTTGGACACGTTTGTGGCCACTAGAACTCGCCTGCTGGTCCTGCCAAATGAATGTATCACCGACAGAAGCAGAATGTCCACCGTCCGTACCTTGATTTCTGCGTCTTCTGAAGCTGCACCATCTTTTCTTGCCTGTCTTCAGCTGTGCAGAAAGCAAGTCCAGTCTCTTCAATTAGTTCCAAGTCTCGGCAAAACGCACCACAAACAACCAGCCTTGCACAAGTACAACAAAACGGCGGCCGATGCTGCTACCCCTCCAACAAGGACCAATTTTTTGCTCCACTCCATGCCTGCGTGCAGCAGCCAGACTATCTACTTGCCAAACACATCACCACAGCCCCCAAAAGCCTCCACGTGGGGAAGGGGGTCTGGCGCTGCACTGCGCTGCACAGCACACAAACGAACGTGTTTGCACGAACCCACCAAATGAATGCCAACCAAAGGCTTGTTGAGCCAAGACTGCGGAGCAAAACGTGGACACTGAAAAACACCGGAAACACGATGCTCCATCTCTTGCCGCTCACACGAGTAATCAAGTGTCAGACTCAAATCCAGCTATTCAATTGCAGCCTTCACAGTGGACTGACATACAAGACAGCCGAGAATGCACTTGATCAATATACAATGGCACAAACATCAACTAGGCACAAAGCGATGCTCAGTGATTGGTTGATTTGAGTTGTGCCCACATCCAATGGGAGGACATTGTAAATTGACAAAAAAAAGTGCACTAAGAAGGTCTATTCATGCCTATTCCCTCACAAGATCATACTCATTGAATGCAATTAATTCAATTACAACAATCGAAAACACATGGACATCCTGGGCCAGAAATTATAAGTTGTGCAACCCATCGTACATAATCTAAATAGAAACGCACAAAAATTTTTAAGAAGGTGTGTCACCATCTCCACTAATTGCCCAAACCGGCAAAATCAACCATCACCATGCAAAGAAGGGAAACGATGAGGTGTCCATCTCAAATTATAGAGAGGCACCGTACTTTCACGACAAAAAAATTGCATGAGACTTCAGGATTCCAAGTGGATCAAAATCTGGGGATCCACAAAAATCAACTGGCTGGATAGAACAAAATATGTCCACTCTGTGGCAAGCTCAACAACATCAATGCACGCAGTGGAGGGGGATTCCCTGCTTTCGATCTCCAGCTCTTTCTTTTGATTCGGGTTGCAGTGTTTCCCCGACAGTGGCGCAAGTGGCTCAAGCACACCATGCAAGCCAACAATTAATGAACAACTGGCACAACCTGCAGGTGCAGGTCAATCTGGGCAGCATTCTTGCCGCGCGGCGGAAGACAGCTTGTCCATCTAGCTGCGCTGTTTTTTTGCACATGTGCGGCTGCCTGGTCAGATGCTTGCTGCGCGCGCGTCACACAGCACATGTCTGCAACTCTGCCAAAAAAAATGGACTGGTGCAGTGGAAGAAAAATCAATCACCCAGCAATGAGAATAAGCACAAACGAGGCAGTTCCCAAAAAGGGCCAAAGACCTATAGTGCGACGACATCACCAGGAATGGAAACAAAAGGATTCAACTTACAACAAACTTTGCATTTTGTGCATTTTCCCTTCTTCCTTGCCCTGCAATGCAGGTAAAAGAAATCCTGTTGTGGCACAGCACTTCACGAAAGGTAGCCCCTAAGGGGATACCTTGAGTTTGTCTTGCGAAGCAAGTGTCGGCGCGTCCGGGTCTAATAATTGATAGTTCAATTCAACCCCCCCTTCGAACTGATTTCTCAATACAGACCCCCCCCCTGTGTTTGCAGTGCCCTAGGTCCCCTAGGCGTGTCTACGCTATACTTGTGTAGCACCTGTTCTTTGTATATAGACTTGTATGTAGTTCTTCAATCCGCTATCGACCTAATTCATTTGGCTCAAGACTATCGTAGCCCAATACCTGCATCCGCAGCCATAGAAAAGGTGTGCATCGCTGCCGCTCGCACACCGTCGACCGCTGTGGCCTCACTTGGTGTATTCGATCAGGTCCAGTAAAGCTACTGCCACTTCTGGGGGAACTTGCCCCTCAAAGTGGTAGCGGAGCTTGTGTCTCCTGCTTCGCAACGGTCGATTTTGCCTTCGTGCCGAATCATCCGATATTCCGGACAGGAGACAACCAAGTAGGTCACTTGTCTGAAACATAAAGACCATGGTCCAGATCTTTAACATAGATACCGACGAAGAGCATGACGACAGCTTGTCGGAAGAAACTGATCCAGAAGAAGCTTTCGCCGCACAAGGCTCGCACCCCGTCCTTTGATGGACAGTCATCCTGGTTCGAGTTTGAAGATCGATTTGATCACATTGAGCGCCGAAAAATTAGGCCCATCATTGAAGAACGCTCTAACAGGGAACGCCGAATACTATAAAAAGATGCTCGACAATGAACAGCTTCGTCATGAAAGAAACGGTATTACGTATTTCAAGGAGACGTTGCGTCCATACTTTGTCAAGGGAGCAAACCATGTTTTTCTCTGGCGTTTCATGCAGCTCTTCAGGACCTGGCGCAGAAACGGGGTCGCTCGTTTTGAAGTTGCAAGTAAGAAAGTCATGGAAGCCTTCATGGGCTTATTAGCTCTTTCGACTGTTCCACAGCCTGATGATTTCAACTGTACTGATATCCTCTCGCAACAGCAG